GGGGTGTGGGAAGGTGGACACGGTGCTTTCAGGGTCCGATCGATGCTGCGAGGTGCGTCTTCTTCCGCCACCCCCCTCGCCATCCACGCCTTAAATCTTGGGCTGCTCTCCAGCCACACCACCTGCCAAGGGCCCCTTTTAGAATAACCTATTTTCCCCGTTAAGATGGTTCAGCTACTTTAAAGAAAAGGGCACCGTCTCTCGCTCTTTAATCTCATGAAGTGCTCGCAAGAACGACAGTTCTGTTTCTCCGACGCGCCCTGAAACAAGCTCCATATCTCACGCGCTTGAGCTCCCTCTCAGCATCTCGCCGTCGTAGACCGAGCTTTGGTATGTTTGGCAGAGCGCCTTGAGCGCCGTGTACAACCAGTATGGATCAACAGATTAACCAATTGATCCATATATTAGGCGCTCCGGAAGGCTTAATGTCGTTTTTTGGAGAAAATTAAAGGCTTTTAAGTGCACCTTGGAGTGCGGAAAATTATATAGTATATTTACTTTAATACTAAAAGAGGGCGCCCCATTTGACATTGTTTTGTTTGGCGGCGCCTTTTGTTGAATAACGACAGGCGGACAAGAGCAGAGCACAGCAGCCAAGAGCGGCCGTTTCGAGCGAGAGCCTTATTGTTTTATTAATCTGTTTGTTTAAATCGTTTGCACTTCATCAATTAATGTTTCAAATAACTAATGTGCCGCATCATAAATATTTTGATATTAATCTCAATCTTATCAAAATTGAAAATTAAAAACATTTTATTTAATTATTGTAAACGTTTTCTCGCGTCCCAGCTGCAGTACCTTCACGGCCCACTGGTGTGGTCCCACACTTTGGGAATCACTGCTTTACATTACATTACAAGTCATTTAGCAGACGCTTTTATCCAAAGCGACTTACAATACACTTTAAACCCATGGCTTTGGGAGCAATCAGGGGTTAAGTGTCTTGCTCAGGGACATGTCTCAAGCATGTCTCTTCCAGTGGTTTTCATATTACTGGTTAGGGGTTTCAGATTTTGTCCTCTTGTCCATCATGGCCTATGACAGATATGTGTCTATATGTAACCCTTTGAAATATACAACCATCATGCAAAAGACAACTGTTATTATTTCCCTAATATTATCCCCCACAGCTCCACCAACCTGCTGCAGTCCCCCTCCCCTCACTCCCCCAGCCCATCAGGTGCTCACGCCTCTTCAACTATATCACCTTCCCCTCCCCCACCAGCAACAACCCTCTCTATTCTGGAGAGAGACGTTAACCGGCTCTTTAGAAGACTAAATCCCCGTAAGGCAGCCGGTCCGGACTCAGTCTCCCCTCACTCCCTGAAGCATTGTGCTGACCAGCTGTCTCCGGTGTTCACTGACATCTTCAACACCTCCCTGGAGACATGCCACGTACCAGCCTGCTTCAAGGCCTCCACCATCATCCCTGTCCCCAAGAAGCCCAGGATCACAGGACTCAATGACTACAGGCCCGTCGCCTGACCTCTGTAGTCATGAAGTCTTTTGAACGGCTAGTCCTGACCCACCTGAAGTCCCTCACCGACCCCCTCCTGGACCCCCTGCAGTTCGCCTACAGAGCCAACAGGTCTGTGGAGGATGCTGTCAACATGGCCCTCCACTACATCCTCCAGCATCTGGACTCCCAAGGAACCTACGCCAGGATCCTGTTTGTGGACTTCAGCTCTGCTTTCAACACCATCATCCCGTCTCTGCTGCAGGACAAACTCTCCCAGCTGCACGTGCCCGACTCCACCTGAAAGTGGATCACAGACTTCCTGTCTGACAGGAAGCAGCACGTGAAGCTGGGGAAACATGTCTCAGCCTCTCGGACCATCAGCACCAGTTCCCCCCAAGGCTGCGTTCTTTCCCCTCTGCTCTTCTCCCTGTACACCAACAGCTGCACCTCCAGTCACCAGTCCGTCAAGCTCCTGAAGTTTGCGGATGACACCACCCTCATTGGACTAATCTCTGGTGGGGACGAGTCCGCCTACAGGTGGGAGTCTGACCATCTGATGTCGTGGTGCAGCCAGAACAACCTGGAGCTCAACGCTCTAAAGACAGTGGAGATGGTTGTGGATTTCCGGCGGAACAGAGCCCCACCCTCCCCAATCACCCTGTGTGACTCCCCCGTCACTATTGTGGATTCCTTCCGTTTCCTGGGCTCCATCATCACCCAGGACCTCAAGTGGGAGCTGAACATCAGCTCCATCACAAAGAAGGCTCAGCAGAGGTTGTTCTTCCTGAGGCAGCTGAAGAAATTCAACCTGCCAAAGACGATGATGATCCACTGCTACACAGCCATCATAGAGTCCATCCTCTGCTCCTCCATCACCATCTGGTACGCTGCAGCCACAGCCAAGGACAAGGGCAGGCTGCAGCGTGTCATCCGCTCTGCAGAGAGGGTGATTGGCTGCAATCTGCCGTCCCTGCAGGACTTGTTCGAATCTGGATATTTTGTTTAACTGATCTGCCACTTTCAACCACTTTTTTGAATCAACGTGGAAATGATCGACGGCTTCCTTAGCGACTTAGAAGCGGAAATGGGTAGAAACTAAAATGAAGCTAAATTAAGAGTGAAGATTGGCAAAAAGACAAAACTTTCACCTCAAACCTGCGCAAAAAACGCTGAAACTGCTTGTGGTGTGCATTCTTTGAGGGATGACTGTAGCTTGCTAAAAAATAGGTCGATGAAGCTGTGTCAATCAAGCTCACACTAGAAGAGGAGGGAGCTTGTGTCCCCAGAAGTTTATTAATCGGCATTGTTTGTGCCACTTTTCAACCAACAGTAAATGCAAACGCACATACAACATGAATCAAGTTGTTTACAGAGTTCATCCTTTGGAGAGTTCAATGAGATCCATGGAGGATGAAGTAGTCTGATAAAAAACCTCCCACCGAATCTCACAGATCACTTTCCAGTCCGTGTGTTCTCCGGTTTACACCAGAGCATATCAAGGTCAGGTACTGAAGACTGAGAGAGACAATCTAGTGCTGTTTATGTCCTGTTAATAATATTTGTTATCATCGCACTGCATAAATTATCAATGGATAATAGATTAAATGTGACTTATATAACGTTTGGTGGGCATGTGGAAGTGCAAAAATATGGATGTCTTTATTTTGTGATCATGTTTACGGTGTTTATTTTAGTGATGAGCAGTAATGCCACTATTGTTTGCATCATAATTATTAAAAAAAACCTGCATGAGCCAATGTACATTTTCATTGCAGCTCTATTAATCAACTCTGTTCTTTTCAGCACTGTTATCTACCCAAAGCTTTTGATTGACTTTTTATCAGATGAACAGATCATATCTTATCCAGCATGTCTCTTCCAGTGGTTTTCATATTACTGGTTAGGAGGTTCAGATTTCTTTCTCTTGTCTGTTATGGCCTATGACAGATATGTGTCTATATGTAACCCTCTGAAATATACAACCATCATGCAAAAAATAACTGTTAATATTTTCCTGTTTTCTGCTTGGATTCTGCCTGCTTGTTTAATGTCAGTAGCATTATTACTAAATGCTAGAGAACAAATCTGTACATTTCATTTGAAGGGAATACTTTGCAACAGCACAGTTCTAACACTTCAGTGTGTTAGTTCAAGAACACTGAATATATATGGCTTGGTTGTTTTTGTTACTGTTTTACTTCTCCCTTTTCTCTTCATACTTTTCACATACAGCAGGATACTTGTAGTATCGTATCGATGTAGAGGAGTCAGGAGAAGAGCTGCACAGACCTGTTTTCCCCATCTGCTGGTTCTAATCAACTTTTCCTGTTTAACTTCATGTGATGTGCTAATTCCTCGACTAGAACTTGAATCTCCAAAAATTGTACGTTTGATTATGACCTTACAATTTGTGATTTACCATCCTCTTTTTAATCCAATCATTTATGGACTAAAAATGAGGAGAATTTATGATCACCTTAAGAAGCTCCTCTGCAGAATGGTGTAGTGTCTTCAGCTGCTAAGTTGAACAGATAACCACAGTGTAAGCGTCACCTTTTCAGTTTTATTTTAGTTACAAAACCATTGTCCTCAAGTGTATGGCAGAAATTTATAGTAACCCTAAATTAAGCACAAGATCCAATGATATAAGCGTTTAGCAATCCTTGCAGGGCAACCCAGCACAATACAAATGAGAGATATAAAAATACATTTTAAAACAGAAAAAAATCTGCAGTGAGTAGTGATAGCGGTGGTTATATTATGGAAGAGAGTTAGCGGTTGTGATGAAAGTAATACATTTCAATAATTGCAACGGTATTGTTTTCTCTTCATTACTTCATCTGGAGTAATAGGCTGTCTATCAGTGCATTTCAGGGTTCGTTATCTATGAAGGAATAAGGAAGTCCAGTAGAGGCTGAACGTTATTATTATTTGCTAGTTACCTGATCTAACTGTACTATTTCGGAACATTTTATTTTTGAAAAACATTAAAGGATGATTAACATAATATAACATGAATGATTATTGATGGACTCTTGTTAGTGCAAAAATAGAAATAATAAATTATTAAAATGTCAGTCGACATCTTCTGCATGACTTCATAAAACTTTGTAAAAAGAACAAATGTTCTATTAAGTAACAGTTTCATGACAACATACGTTAACTTTCAAAATCTCTTCACAATTTAAACCTGTTGTGGCACTTACACTGGCACTTAACAGTTGTATTTATATTAATGATACAATAATTTACCTATTCTGCCACTTGATGCAGGCCACGTCCCAACTACTGAACTCATACTCTCCGTATCCGTCTGGTAGTTTTACATTTCTGCCAGTGGAGGTTGTGCGTGTTGCCGTCTGTGTCATCTTCTAATTTTTGCATTAGAAGTAGGTCAGCTCAATTCTAGCAGAGAGAGGCCTCAAGTAGTTTTTATTATGGGTATTAGGTAGGGATTTTCAGAAAAGGGCCCCTCAATAAATTAAAATGAGGGCCGTAACAGGTTCCAAGTTGTACAAAACCTGTAGCGTGTATCCCGTAGATACACGGTCTACAACATCAGGAGAATACATCCCCTTCTCACTCAAAAGCCAGCGCAGGTACTGATTCAGGCTCTTGTCATCTCCCGCCTGGAGTACTGTAACTCCCTCCTGGCAGGTCTCCCTGCTACCGCCATTGGATCTCTGCAGCTCATCCAGAATGCAGCAGCTCGACTGGTCTTTCACCTTCCGAAATTCTCCCACACTACCACCGCTCTCTTCACTGGCTACTGGTGGCTGCCCGCATCCAGTTCAAAACATTGGTGCTCACCGCTTTCGTGTGTTGCAGCGGCACGTTCATGTATCATCAAACTCAGTCGTGGAAGTCGGCAGTCACAAGACCGAGTGCCTCGTATACAATTAACTGCACAGCTGCCGTTTCTTTATATGAAATTTTGCAACATCCTCCAAAAAAAGCAAAAGTGCAAACATGACTGAGATAGGGACTCAAATTTTTTCCATTTGTAAAACCGCCAATTAAGGCTACTTCTAAACGTAAAACATCAAGTGTATACAGTTAATATGATGAGATTAATATAGTAAATATATTGATTTGACCATTTTCTACCATTTCTTCCATCTGTGTCTTTTTATCTCAACTGTTGGCTCGTCAATGACTGTAAAATGAAGCATGATTAAGGGAGCTCACACAGGTCGATGTCGACTAAGGCTGTGTCAATCAAACATCCTAACTGGTTCCCAAAGTTTTTTTTTAGAATCCTTGGCACCACTTTCCAGTTCAACCAAACATTAAACACGCACACACAACTTGAATCTTGTTGTGATTAGATGTTTCTTTACTTGGTTGTAGAAAACATCCTTTGGAGAGTTCATTGAGATCCATGGAGGATGAAGTAGTCTGATAAAAAACCTCCCACCGACTCTCACAGATCACTTTCCAGTCCGTGTGTTTGCTGGATCACACCGGAGCATATCAAGGTCAGGTACTGAAGACTGAGAGAGACAATCTAGTGCTGTTTGTGTCAGATTAATATTATTTGTTATCATCTCACTGAATACATTATCAATGGATAATAGATCAAATATGACTTTTATAACTTTTGGTGGGCATGTGGAAGTGCACAAGCATAGATATGTGTATTTTGTGGTCATGTTTACTGTTTATATTTTAATAATTAGCAGTAATTTCATTATTGTGTGCATCATAATGATTCACAAAAACTTGCATGAGCCAATGTACATTTTCATTGCAGCTTTGTTAATCAACTCTGTTCTTTTCAGCACTGTTATCTACCCAAAGCTTTTGATTGACTTTTTATCAGATGAACAGATCATATCTTATCCAGCATGTCTCTTCCAGTGGTTTTCATATTACTGGTTAGGAGGTTCAGATTTCTTTCTCTTGTCTGTTATGGCCTATGACAGATATGTGTCTATATGTAACCCTCTGAAATATACAACCATCATGCAAAAAATAACTGTTAATATTTTCCTGTTTTCTGCTTGGATTCTGCCTGCTTGTTTAATGTCAGTAGCATTATTACTAAATGCTAGAGAACAAATCTGTAAATTTAATTTGAAAGGAATACTTTGCAACAGCACAATTCTAACACTTCACTGTGTCAGATCAAGAATACTGAATATGTATGGCTTGTTTGTTTTAGTTATTTTTTTATTCATCCCTTTGCTCTTTATACTTTTCACATACGCCAGGATACTTGTAGTATCGTATCGATGTAGAGGAGTCAGGAGAAGAGCTGCACAGACCTGTTTACCCCATCTGCTGGTTCTTATCAACTTTTCCTTTTCAACTGCATATGATGTACTTCTTCCTCGACTGGAACTTGATTCTCCAAAAATTGTACGTTTTATTATGACTGTACAATTTGTAATATATAGCCCTCTTTTTAATCCAATCATTTATGGACTAAAAATGAGGAGAATTAATGATCACCTTAAGAATTTCTTCTGTACAATGTTCAATGTTTCAGCTGTTAAATTGAACAGGTAACCACAGTATAAACATTCCTTTTTCAGTTTGATTTTACTTACAAGGTCAAACTGACCTACACTTGTAGATATGACCTTTTTCTACAAGTCTACTGCTCAAAACTGTGATGACCCTGACATAAGCATAAAATAGCAGAAAATGAGATAATCCGTTAATAATCCTTAGAGGGCCACCCAGCACAATACAGATAAACACAACACAACATAAGAGAAATACAAATAAGTAAGTGGTGCAGTTAAATGTGACCGGGCAGAGGTTATTACAACAGGGAGGAGTGTGGGGGGTTGTGATGTAATGTCAATATTTTAAACAAAAAACGAATAAAGCAAGGGCATGAGCATTTTTCTGATTCAAGTCAAATTATTGTTTCCTCTTCATTGCTTCATCTGGAGTAACAAGCTGGTAACTGTGAGTGAATATGACGGTGAATGTTAGTGTTATTTGCTATTTACTTGATCCACATGTCATATTTCTGCACAATTTATTTTTGACAACATGAATGGAGGATGAACATAATGTAACATACATCATTTTGATGGGCTTCTGGAAGTGCACAAATACAGATATCTATCATTTTCTGATAATGTTTACAGCACATATTTTAATCTTTTATTTCACCATTGTGTACCTTATCTGGATACATAAAAACATAAACCTATCTACATTTTAATTGCGGGCTTGCCACTGAACTCTGTTGTTTTTTCAGCAGTGTTATTTTTATTCTATATGTTTTTATTTTATTTCTATATGTACACATCTGAAATACACATCATTTTATATTCAGCTTGTCTCCTTCAATTCTTCCTGCGCTACACCTTAAGTGGTACAAAATTATATTGGTTGCTAGCCATGTCTTATGAATGGTATGTTTCTGTATTTAAACTTCTGCAATACACAGCTAAAATGACAAAAAAAAAACTCAGTGTTGTAGTGTTTTTAGCTGGGTTTACACCTGCTTCTCAGACTGCAGTCCAAATATTTGCTGATGAGTGCTGATAAGGAACTCTAATTTTACCTCAAAAGGATTTCTTTGTAAAAATAAACTTTACAGTCTCCACTGTGTGAGTTCAAAATTATAAACTTTATACAGCTCTGTTGCACTAATAGAACTATGCGCTCATTCCTGTGTTCTTCATACTTTTACATACTCCAAGATGCTTATGATATGATATAAAGGTTTTAGAGAAGTAAAGGCTGTACGGACCTGTTTACTTCACCTGTTTTAATCAGCTTTCCTTTTTTTGTCATCATGATATAATTATAGTTTGACTGGGATCTGATTTTCCGAAAATGATAAATTCCACAATTACTTTACATACAATTTGTTATCAACCTCTTTTTAATCTGATACATGGACTTAAAATTAAAAAAAAATTCTAAAACCCCTGAAGAATTTGTTCTTTTAGGTAAAACTAACGAAATGTATTAAAAGTGATTTGACATCACTGATGTAATACTGACGTTACATTAATTATTCAGAAGTGAGAACATTTTGACCTTTGGGTAGTGATTTTGTCCACGTCATTAATGTCGTCACTCTTTGAAGTTGACGTTCCATTTTAACTTTGGTAGCGACACATATTGAGGGAGCAGTCTGTGGAGCCCTCACCTTTTCAAGTTGATAGTGGACAACAGGAGAGGCAACAGAGCTGGACCGGACCAACACTTCAGGCAACAGGTATACGTTTTCTACACACCTACTTATGAGAAGAAGCTTTTGTACAGCTGCTCCCACCACTCCCAACTAAACTATCCAGAAAGCTACTTCCTGTCTGTTACGACTCGGCAGATTATATCACCAACTCTGTGGAAAATGTTCCTGCGTCAGAAACAACAAGCAACAAATATCCCCTCTAATCCAACTCGTTGTCCCTCACAACTTGTCAAGACCAATGGTTGGTCAGTGTCCCTTGGAGCGCACTTGGCTTTCAAATGACCTCCATTGCAAACCCTCCAAAAATACTCCTGGACAGTAGGAGAGAGTCATGTCGTGAGGAGCTTTTGAGTCTGCTGGGGCCGTGTGGGTCAAACCAACACAGGACTTGTTGCAAGGAAACCAACGTTTGTGTGTCCGTTGATGTATTGTCATCCTGCAAGGAACATTCTCCAACGCAACAACAGAGCAAACACGACCGAGAAGGTGTTAACAGGTGTACTGGATGGTACCGGCCCCATAAGCTGTTGACACATGTAAGCTGTTCAGCATTTCTAGCGCGATTACCCAGTCCTAGCCATGATATTTTCGTAGGGAAATAAAACATCAGTTCTGCTTAGTGGAACTCAATCATCAAAAAGGTAAAACTTTATTGAAACAAAACATAATTGACATGTTCGTTGATGTGAATAGTTGTGTGTTTCTGTGTTAGCCCTGCGATTGGCTGGCGACCACTCCAGGGTGTACCCTGTCTATCGCCCAAGGTGGGTGGGATGGACGCCAGCCCCGGCGCGACCCTGTGTGCAGGATAAGCGGTTTGACAATGGATGGGTGGGTGGATGGATTATTAGTTCAAACAACCATGATTGTTTTTTTAGACAAAATCTCAGACATTTAAACATTTTTAATTTGGGGGGTTAACATTGGGGTCTTTAATTTGGCATAGCAAACATCTACGACCTCAGGCCTCTAGAATCAAGCGTACTTCTTCCTCGACTGGAACTCGATTCTCCAAAAGTTGTACGTTTAATAATGGCTTTACAAGTTGTAGTATATCAGCTTCTTTTTAATCCAATCATTTATGGACTAAAAATGAGGAGAATTTATGATCACCTAAAGAGGCTCCTCTGCAAAATGGTGTCTTCAGACTGATGACTGTCATAGCCTTTTTTCATAATACAGATATGTGAGTACTTTGAACTTTTAAAGACTTGTTTATGAAACTATAATGCACAACTATAATGCACGGAGAATCTAACACATACAACATGTAAGGATGTTAACTAATTAATTACTGCAGTTTTTCAAAGACCGACATGCAATGGTTAAGTTGAATAGATAACCAAAGTGTAAGCATCCTTTTTTTCAGTTTGATTTCACTTACGGGTTATACAAATGACCGTTGTCTTCAAGCGTATTGCTCAAGTTCATAGTAGCCCTAATAATCCTTTATCAATCTTTGTGGGGCAACCCAGCACAGTACATGAAAAAATTCACTCATGAGAAATAAAAAGAATGTATCTGGTGGTATCTGGTGCAGTTGTGATCAGACAGAGGCTTTCATATTATGGATAAGGCTGGGGCATTAAAATGAATGCATGTCAATATTTAATTATATATATGAAAGCCAAAGCATGAGCATATTTCTGATTTGGCAGTTTGTTTTATTCAAATTGTAGTAGACAAATTTTGCAGTAGACAAAGTGTTATTAATTACAAAGAGTGTTAATTTTTGTAAAAGGGAAAAATAAACGTTATTTTCCCGTCAACTATAACACAGATCAGATCATATGGAGCCTGTCTCTTTCATTTCTTTCTCTGGTACACCTTAAGTGGTACATAATTCTATCTCTTGTTCACCATGTCTTATGACAGGTATATTTATATATGTAAACACCTGCAATATCCAGCTATAATGACAAAAAAAAGGAAAAAGGAAAGTTATGTATCTACAGTTATATCAATGGGTGACCGCCAGAGTCACATGGCAGTGTTTCACACCGGATATTGTCAGGATCTCCGATCCCCCCGAGTTGGTTGATGAGAAGAATCGCAGCACGTTGATCAATTAAAGTCAAAAGGTTAACATTTATTTAGAAGAGAAAAAGATTACATGAGCAATTCTCCGCAGATATCTGGCTCTAACTATTGCTTGCAAGCGGGAGGTCCAACACACCAGCGCTTGGCGTAATGACGTCTCCGAGCAGTGAAAACGCTGAGTTTTTATACACATTTGAAGAACATTCTCCGTGCCAGTTACGAGAAGCTACAAAGCAGGTTGAGATAAGAACCCAGGTGAAGCTGAGGGTAGCACACACACACACACACAAGATCCTCCTCAGTGGCCGGTGCAAATCATTATTAATTGACATAAAGTAAAAACGTGGATCCGGAACGAAAGCTCAGAATAAGATATGAACCAAGGCCATGAACAGGAGTCCTTTGTTTTGAAGCTTCTACGAGATCGAGTTAACCGCTCTCCCTTCTCAGTGCGCAGCTGCAAAGCAACATTTTGTACCATGCTGCTCCTTGCACTTCAGGGTCAAATACAGGACACTGGAGACACGGCCTTAGCACAAAACAATGTTATAATATATTTTACCAGTACATGTATCTGACAATATCTTCTGTCTCGCACAAGCGCAGGTTGCGTATTTCATATTATAATACTGGTAGATGAAATCCAGCGTTCTGATTCCTTTAGAGTGAGTCCCGAGGGGTACATTATTGGGCGATAATGGACAGTTGCTGTTGACATTGAACTGAGCGTTCAGTATCACTGCACACTCAAAGTAGCAGGTCAGCTTTTGCGCCACCGTTTTTGACATTTTAGCTTTTAGCTCGGTGGCGATCGTAGAAAAACGGAAATCTCACAAATGATCGGTTTCCGGCAATACAAGCTTTTGCAACTACAATTTAAGGTGCACGTCATGAGCGATGTGAATGAATGAGATGGTGCGGGACCCAATGCTGTTTACATGCACGTACAGGGACTATTTTTTCTCTAGACTACTAAATGCAATACACATGGTTTGGTGGCTAATACTTCTTTGTCCTGAAAGGCAGCTATTTACTTACTAATTATAATTATATTATAATTTCGCTGATAACCCTATTATAAAAGCAATAAGGTACAAGAGGCTGTACTTTATCGTCCAATAATGTAATAGTTCGGGGGCGTTGTTAGGTGCGACGCAGAGCGGAGGCAACCCATTAACAACAAAGCTAATTGTGACCTCTGACCTCCACAGTTTATAAATTCCAGTGTCGCACTGAGATTTGTCTTGCGGAATCTTCTTGAGAGTTCTAAGTGACCCAGAACTCTGGCGCGGACATTGAGCAGGCAGAGAAGACGAGGTGAAACACTACTATGACACTTTTAAGACACTCGTAAAACATCGGCATCTCTCTGTGACTTTCTGCTGCGGGTCTCCTGTTGCGCTCACTTCCACCCCTCATCACAGGCTCTCCCCCGACTGATTTATTGATTGACATAATATCTAGACAGCGGCATTTCTCAGCTTTCAGAATCCGATTGTGCAAAATAGTTAAGGCGTCACGGTAATTTGAATCCTCTGTGTCACTTTCT